GCCGTCTAAGGACCTCCTCATTTCTAACTCTGTCGACCCAGCTTATTTTCAGTAGTCGTCTGTATACCCACATCTCAAAGGCTGTCAAGCGTTTAAGGATAACCTCAGATAGAGTCCACGCTTCCACTCCATACAGCAGGACAGGAAAGATGTAGCAAGATGTCATTTGAACTCTAAGGTCAATGCTAAGATCATTACTACAAAGTACGTTTCTCATTTTTACAAAGGCAGCTCGGGCTTGTTCTATTCGGCTTTTAATTTGTGTGGTTGGATCCCAGCTCTCATTGATATTACTGCCGAGATACACGAGTTTCTCTACTCTGTCCAGTGTGGCATCTCCAACTTTTATACCGTCATTCTGTATATAATTTTGTTTGCTAACTATCATATATTTAGTTTTCTTAACGTTGAATTTTAATCCATACTGATCACAAGTCTGATTTTGTTCATTGGATTTTGAAGGTCTTCTCCGGAATTAGTAAGGGCTAAGGTATTGTGTCGAAGCATGGACATTAAAAATATCCACAATTAATCGTCTGGAGGCCTTGGAAATGTGGCTGCACAGACGTATACTAAAAATTCCATGGACGGCTATGCTGACAAATGTGGCAGTCCTTGAGAGAGCAAATGCTGCTCGCGAGCTGCTTGATAACATCAAATGTAGAAAGATCGCCTATTTTGGGCACGTAGTAAGGGGAGACCGATATAATATTCTTCAACTTATTATGATGGGTAATATCGAAGGACGCAGAGGAATTGGTAGAAAGCGGGCCTCTTGGTTGAAGAATATCGGGGAGTGGACAGGAATAAAGCAACTCTTTAGAATAGCTCGAGACAGAGACAGTTTCGCCATGTTAATCGCCAACGTCAAGGGGACTTGATAGGGCACGTTAAGAAGAAGAAGGTATCGTCGGCATATCTAATATTGTTACCTTCGGTTGTCTCCATTGAGGCTTCCTTAAATATTTCCTCCGAATATAAGTTAAAAAGTAAAGGCGACAATATACAGCCTTGTCTCCCTCCTCTTTTTATATTTATTCCATACGACAGTTCTTGTTCAACCTTTATTCTTGCCACTTGATGCCAGTATAGATTTGTAATTATTCGTAGATCTTTATCGTCCAATCCAGCTGTTTCCAATATTTCTAGCATTTTATTATGTCGGACTTTGTCAAACGCCTTTTCAAAATCGATTGCACAAGTGTACACATTTTGATTTATATCTTTGCATCTCTGTACTAGCGCCTGTATACTAAACAAGGCTTCTCTTATACCCAAGGCACTCCTAAACCCAAATTGAGTATTGCTAATTCTGTCCTCTAACAGCGTGTAAATTCTGCCGTGTATTACTCGAAGGAAGATCTTCAAAACGTGACTCATCACACTTATTGTCCGATAATCACCGCATGTCTTTGGACGATGTTTCTTAGGTATGACAAATTTCGACTTAAACCAATCAGTTGGTAATATCCCAGTGTCATAAATTCTGTTAAAGAGATTACACAGAGCTTTAATTCCATTTTTTCCCAAAACTTTAGTATTTCAGCACTTACATTATCGGGGCCAAGTGCTTTTCCATTTTTTGCCGTTTGTATTAAACGTGTAACCTTACTTTCTGTTATAGATGGACCTGATATAGCAATCGGTGTATAGTGTTCTACTCTCTTATCTTCAAATAATTAAGAAATGTAGTTTTCCCATTCTTTTAACTGTTCATTGATATCTAATATTCTGTGTCCGTTTCTGTCTTCTAAACTTTGGGATACTTGTTTCCGTTTGTTTCCAGCGACCTGTTTTAATTTCTTGTGCAGATAAAATGTATCGCGTTTCTTTTCATATTGTTCAATTTCATTACATTCTCTACTATGAAATTGTGTTTTCGCGTGTCTTATCTTCTGCCTGATTATTGCGTGGATCCTCTTGTATTCGTTTTTATCTTTATTTCTGACTTCTCTTCTTTGATACATAAGTCTCAGTATTTCTTCTGTCATCCACCCTTGTTTTTTTCTTGCTTTTAGCGCACTCAATTTTGTTTCCTGAACAGTCTTTAAGATGTCTTTAATTCTCGTCCAGTTTTCCTCAGTACCTACTTTCTTCTTTGCTTGATGTTAACTTAATTTTTTGTTCTAATATACTAGTTATTTCTTGTTTTACAGTATCATTTAGCATCTTTTCTCTATCAATAGTAACTGTTTGCTTATTCGTCCTTGCAACTCTTTTTATTCTCAGTCTTATTTTTCCTACTAAAATATTGTGATCTGTTGGTTCATCTGCGCCTGGATATGTTTTTACTGCTAATACTGAATTTCTGTATCTCTTATTTATACATATGAAATCTATTTGGTTACGAAAAACTCGTTCAGGTGTATCTGCTGGTGATTTCCATGTGTAAAGACGACGTTTTGGAAGTTTGAAAATTGTGTTTGTTATTACTAATTGTTTTTCTACGCAAAAAGATGCCAACATATCTTCTCTTTTATTTCGTATTCCCAGACCATATTTTCCTATGATATCTTCCTGTTCACCTTCACCAATCTTTGCATTAAAATCTCCCATGATAATATTGAGATCGTGTTTCTTTGTAGGTACTAATACTTTTTCTTAATCATGATAGATTTTTCAATTTCTTCTTGTTCATAGTCTTGTGTGGATGCATATTTTTGTAATATGTTCACATTGATTGTTGTTGATTGTATTTGTATCGTCAGCATCAGTATTCTCCTTGGCATCACACAATTTTTCTGCTTATTCTTTTGGTGCCTATTCGTTTCGAATATTGGCGATCAGTCTGGCTATAATTATTTTATTAACTGATGCTTTATGTAGATTGTTGTTGTGAAGAACCATTTCCTCAGGTTTTTTAACCATGGTATTCTTCTTCTCCCAATTCCTCGCTTTCCGAATACTTTGTCTTGAAGGATTATTTTCAGTAATCTGTATTTAGTGCCGTTTCTCATTATGTGTCCGAGATTATAAACCATCGTCGTGTATCGGAGTGTTAATCCTAAACAACTCAACGGAGGTGGTCGAAGATCGATTGTTACATGTTGTAAATTTGTTATTTAATGTCGTTATGGAATGGAAATTTTCTTTGATAAAGTAATTCTTATTTTCTAAAAAGAATGTTGTGTAAAATGTCAGCACAGGCGTTTTAAAAGAAACAGAAAGAAGACTAGAACTCTTTAGACTCAACAACTAAAATTATGCACAAATCGTATAATTATAGATACGCCGATTGGAACACTTCTGTGGCGCCAATGTGTAGTCGGCGTCAACGGCAACACCAATATTGGCGCCAATCCCTTTGATGTGTACGCAAAAACCGACAGCCCACGGAAAAGTCCCAACGATGAAGCAAGTCATAAAAATGTTACATTGGCAACATTGGCTCCAACACGGTTTTATCGGTACACACATTGGACGAACGTTGTTGGGGCCAACGTTGGCCCCCATGTGTGAAGCCGGCGTTATTTTTGCTTCAGTCAACATATTTTCCATTTGTTTCTGTTTTTTCGTCTTTAAGTAGCTACTTAATGTATTATTAACGACTGTTTGTAATTGACCTGTATGGTCCATTTATTTCTTTTATCTTTTGGTACATACTAAACATGTTTTTCTTTGTCTGCAATTCCTCTATGTCAAGACATGTTTGTTGCATTTTAGTTCACGTACTAATGTTCTTATTGATTTTTTATTCTTTCATACATGTTTCTAAAAATCACCGTATTCGGTATTAGTAAACAAATGAAATTAAAAAAATAGATAAATAAAAGTCGAATAATGAGAAACTATATAATACATGTTAAAGGAAACTTGTTTACATGTCTATCTAAGGAAAGATATATTAATTACTTTTTAAACAGCATTGGCGCCAAAGACTTCTTATATTTGCAACAAAAAATAAAGCTACATTTGTAGCAAGCAATATGAAAGAAAATACACAATACTAACAAATTTTTCCCAGTATAAATTCAATAACGTTTGTTTGACAATAACGCGTCAAAGAAAGACGAAATACTAAATATCATACAATGGGTGATAAATATTAGGTAAAATGGCATTTTTGGTTAAAATATTTGAGTTACATAATATATTTATTGTTTATTTCTATTTTATTATGTATCAAATTTATTGACATAGTAATAAATAGACTGGTAACCACTTGTTGCTGCAATACATATTGTGAATTGCAATTTTGGTAAGAGACGCGAAATTGCGTATTTTCACCCCTAGACACCGAATTCGTCCAACCAGCGATACGATTGAAAGCTAGCCATTAATTCAGTGTCGTATCTGCAAAGTGTTAGTGTTTAAAAAGGCAGATGGATCATATCAAAGGTAAAATATCTTAAGCAACGGGCGAGTTGAAGTTCCTCTTTTAGGTCTTCATTTTGAATTAATAAACTTCAACAATTGTTTCAACTGACTACAATAACACAAAAAATGTGTTTTATATTGTCTAATAACATTGTTTCACTGCCACTGTTGACTATTATTGTTTCATAAATGATACTTTGGGCATTTGTTGCTGTAATCCAGGCACTCACCTTGTTTATTCAGCACTCAACGGATTATTCATAATGTTTAGTGTGATTATAAAAATATTACCAGCTGTTTTAGTGCTTTCTGCTGCCACTATTTATTGTACTAAATTTTGCGTAAATCAAGCAGTTATATCCAGTCTAAACCTATTTCGATTAACAATCTTTGGAAGTTGAATAATCAACAAATATCCAATAGATTTTTTACCAATATCGGCTCATTAAGGACATTATAGAAGCTTTGTACTAGAGCCTAATAAATTTATCATCCAATGTAATCAAGGCACATATTTGGCTGGTGTGCTATTTTGGCGTTGTCAAAACATACCTAGTACGAATATGATCTCTTTTCAGAATAATTATTTAACAGTTTAACCCTAAAATCCCCAGTCCAACTTTACAAACTAAAAAAATATTTCACAAAATAGTATAGTAAACTTCACTACCAATTCGAGCACTTTATGTGCATTGCAATTGGTGGGAGTAAAGGCGCGATGCAGGAAACATGTCTCCGCAAAATTCGCACGGAAGTTCTTCGTCGTCGAGAGAATTTCGTCTGGGTTCGACGTAGTAATCGTCATCTTCCGGAGAAGATCTTCTTCTAGGATTGAATCTGGCCAGATCTGGGCGGCAACCAGACTCGTGCTGAATGAGGTCTTCGTGGGGTATGGGTACGTTGCAGAACTCGCATGGGATGACCAATTCCGTTGGTGGATTGCGACGCCTGTAAGCTGGCATCGGTGGAGGGCTTGTTGGGCCTGGAAGTATTAAAAATTATAATTATTTTGTATAGCGAAATCAGTGTTTGGTTAATAAAATAATATATAATAAACACACGAGCAGAACACACAATATTATACCTCATCTCATGTAGTATTTTTGGTCCATACTTTACCAACTGATTTGGGATGTCTCCAGGTCTTGCTTCTTTACCGTTTTTTCGATCTTTTGAGGGCATCGCTTAACTCTCCGGTTGTTATCTCAATTATTTGTGTATGTTCGGATATTCCTTCCATTTTGATCTCTTGAAATTTACATCTATCCTCCGTCAGTAAGACCTCATAATGGTGTTTCCACTGTTTTAGATCTATTAACTGTAAGTTAGATTTTTCCTTTCCTTCCCTCCGGAGAGACTTTATCACCTTCCATTCTTGCCCAAATCTTGTTCCACCCATATACCTAACCACCTCTGTAGATCTTCGATCTCACATCTTATTTTTACTTTTCACTACTTCTCTTTTTACATCTCGATTTAATTTTTTATATATCTTACAATCTTCCTCCTTTCTCGTTGAAATCCATTTCTGATAAGCAGTTTTCTTCTTGTTTACTAACATTTGCATATTCTCCGACCACCATTCTTGATTTTTTGTTTCATGCTTGTCTTTTCACCATTGCATTTTTTCTCGATCCACATTTTGTAATTTTGTGGCCAGTCGTAATTTGTAAAGAAATTTCGTTGAATTTTTTTATATTCTGTACCTGAGTATTATTGTTTTTGCGAGAGTTAATTATCACGTTATCGAATGTTACATGAGCAGTGCCAAGAACTAGAAGAAATTGAGAAAAAATATGACTTTTTTAACATGCATAAAAGAATTAGAGAATTAACAGGAATGAGAAAAACATTTCAAACTAGGCAACTAAGAGATGAAAGGGGTGCACTTATAACAAATATAAACCAAAAAATGCAGAGATGGATACAATATATAGCACAACTTTTTGAAGACAAAGAGAGAACAGAAGCACCAAAAGAATTTAAGGATGATACTGGGCCTGACATTATACGAGAAGAAATTGAATATGCAATGAAACAAGCTAAAGGTGGTAAATCTCCCGGGCCTGATGAAGTTCCTATCGAATTACTTAAAATTGTGAATACTGAATCTATTGATCTTCTTTTGGATCTATTCAATACCATATATAGAACAGGTATAATACCTAAAGAATGGCTCCAATCAACATTCATACTGCTTCCCAAAAAAGCCAATGCAAAGGAGTGCAATGAACATCGCACCATAGCCTTAATGAGTCATGTCTTGAAATTGTTTTTAAAAGTAATTCACAATAGAATACATAAGAAATTAGATGAAGGCATAAGTAATACACAAATGGGATTTAGGAAAGGACTGGGAACACGAGAACTGTTTGCATTAAGTGTTCTTTCGCAGAGATGCTTAGATATTAATCAGGAAGTATATGCCTGTTTCATTGATTTTGAGAAGGCATTTAACAGAGTGCAGCATAATCGACTTAAAGAAATTTTATTAAATAAAAACATAGACAGTAGAGATAGAATCATCTGTAACCTCTATTGGAATCAAACAGCAAAAGTGAAAGTTGAAAACGAACTGACCAAGGATATCCAGATTCGCCGTGGTGTCCGCCAAGGGTGTATTTTATCACCCTTGTTATTCAATTTATACAGTGAAGCCATCTCAGAATTAGCGCTTGCCGAGATCAGTGAGGGCCTTATAATAAACGGTGAGCCACTTAATAACACAAGATATGCTGACGACACCGTCCTTCTGGCAGGAACACTAGAAGAACTGCAACACCTTGCTGAACAACTAAATATATATTGCAACGATTATGGACTAAAAATCAATTTGAAGAAAACCAAGTTCATGGTATTTACAAAAGCACAAAACATCAAAGTTAAGCTAGTACTAGATACTACAGAAATTGAACAAATATCTTCGTACAAATACCTTGGAGCATGGATCACAGAAGATACTGGTCAGACAAAAGAAATAATATGCCGCATTGAAATTGCGCGGTCAACTTTTAATAGAATGAGAAAACTTTTTTGTAATCGCGATATCAACATATCGCTCCGGATAAGAATGCTTCGATGTTATATTTTCTCTACCCTTTTGTATGGAGTTGAAGCTTGGACACTTAAAAAATCCAACATTAAAAACCTAGAAGCATTCGAAATGTGGTGTTACCGACGTATTTTGAAAATATCATGGATGGATCGCAAAACAAACGAACAAGTTCTCGAACAACTAGGAAAACAATGCGAAGTTTTAAATTCCATAAAAATCAGGAAATTGGAATACTTGGGGCACATCATGGGAGGTGAAAAGTACGAACTACTAAGGAATATAATGCAGGGTAAAATCAAAGGTAGAAGAAGCGTAGGAAGACGTAAAATCTCGTGGCTATGCAATTTCCGTGAATGGTTTGGATGCAGTTCAATTGAACTATTCAGGCGAGTAACCAATAAAATTATAATTGCCAGAATGATTTCCAATCTCCGATAGGAGTGGAACTTGAAGAAGAAGAATTATCACGTTGGCCATAAATAAACGATGGTCGGATTCACATTCTGATCCACGGTATACCCTTACGTCAGTTGTTTTCAGCTGAGAAGTTTGACGTTGGATTACATAGTCGATTATCAATCTCAAATTCCTAGTAGGTTGTATCCATGTAAATTTGTGGATGTCTTTATGTCAAAAAAAAGCTATTCATAATTTTGAGAGACATTGTTTCACAAAAACCTCTAAGACGCATTCATTCATCTTGTTGTAGAAATCCCCTTTACTTTCTGGATCTGCATCTTCATTTGGGGCATACACTCAGACAATTACGATGTTGTGCCCATTCTTTCTCATTTCCAGTATTACCAGTTGTTCATATACTTCAGTCCATGATTTATTTTTTTGTTCCAAGATTTTTTTGAATGATAATAGAGACTCCTCTCTTAGCTCTGTTATATTTAATCACCCCCACTGTAGATATGTATATATTCTCCTATCTCGTCATTTCATTTTCCCTTTTTTCTTGGTCTCGATGAAAATACGTATATCTATTTTTCTTTCCATCAATTCTTTGAATACTTCTGCGTGTTTGGTTCTAAGTCCTTGTACATTCCATGTAGCCAATATCATTTACCTTATCCGTTGCATTAGTCATCTTTGTTTTGATTCATCCTTTGTATTCCGAGGCTTTTGGTCGAAATTTTTAGCATTTATTTCTTTTGACAAGGGATGAGTTACTAGCTCAACCCTCCTCCTTTATCCGGGCTTGGGACCGGCACCGGCATTTACTGAACTACTCAATCCACCCAGCACTTATAGGAGGCGGAGTTATTAAATGACAAATAAGATTGTTAATTGGATAAAAGCTTGTTTAAGCTCAGTTTTATTAAAGCACATACAAAATACGTTCAACAATCAAAGTACTCCAATGGTACTATTTTTTACAATAAGTATATTTATCATGTGCTCACCGAAAAAATAAAAATTGCGGAAGAGTTCTAGCAAGACACACATTTTATTTATAGGCAATAAAGTGTGGACGACCGTTAATGAGGAAATCAGATGTTAAACTCTGGCAAAAATGATGCCAGAAGCGAAATAGCCCAAACATATTGTTTTAGTAAATCGTATTACGGATTTGGACACAATCTACTAAGTCAAAATATGATTTCTTGGCCTGACAATTAAAAAAGTGTATTTTTTTCTTAAAAAATAAATTTACTTCTCAATCTAGTCTCTGTTTAGTTTAAAATACTTTGTATTTTCTCCAACAGACAGACTACATATCGTTGATATATAAATGTTCATTAAATAAATAACTACTGCTACCTAACTTAAGTGCAAATACAGGACCATCAATCTTAAAAGCTGAAGTGGAAAAAGCCATACACCAGGCCAAAAATAACAAAGCCAGATGGAACAGATCAAATATACAGCGAATGGCTAAAATTACTCTCAAATGACAAAATTAAAGAACTCACTGTACTTTTCAATAAAATATATGATACCAGTGAAATTCCATCGGACTGTTTAAAATCGATCTTTATTCCTCTACCTATGAAACCAAACGTTAAGAAATGTAGCGATTGTAGATTCATTAGTTTATTGAGCCATGCCGTTAAAATACTGTTGCATATTCTTCTAAACCGAATTAACAACACGTGCGAAGAAATAATTAGTCAAGAGCAGTTCGGGTTCTGGAGATGCCTTGGAACTAGAGAAGCACTATTTTCTATGCAAACACTCCTTCAACGATGTTGGGAGGTAAGAAAACCCGTATATATGTGCTTCATTGATTTTGAAAAGGCATTTGATCGCGTTCAGCATACCAGACTAATTACCGCCTTGCAGGGCATCCAACTAGATAAGAAAGACATCAAGCTTATTGCCAAACTTTACTGGAACTAAACAGCCATTATTAATACCAACAACAGATAATCAAAGCCAATCAGTATTGAACGAGGTGTAAGACAAGGCTGTATACTATCTCCCACAATCTTTAACGTGTATTCTGAGAATCTATTTAGGGAAGCTTTAAACGATCAAAAAGGAATTATCATAGGAGGAGAAATAATTAACAATATACGGTACGCCGACGATACTGTGATTCTAGCTGAAACATCGACGATCTGCAGGAGCTAATCAATAGAGTTGACATGGAATGCACAAATTGGAGACTGTCGATAAATATCGATAAAACTAAATACATGGTGACCAGTAAAGTGGATATGGCGCAACCCAACTGATATTAAACCAACAACCGCTGCAGAGAGTTCAGAGATTCAAATACCTTGGATGTTGGATTACCCAAAATCTAGATCCATCCTTCGAAATTAGATGAAGAATTGAACAGGCAAGAAACTCATTTCAAAAATTAATTACTCTATTATCTATTATCCAATAACTCATTAAATTTGGAAATCCGTGAAAAGTTTACAAGATGTTACGTGTGGTCTGTACTTTTGTATGGATGTGAAACTTGGACTTTA